AAAACAGAGGCAGGGATGGGATGAGGAGGTCCTCGAGAAGAGGGAGGATGAGGGGAAAATTGAACCACAAAGGACTGGTCCAAAAGTGGGGTGGCCTCCTGAAGAGTAGAAGGGCGATAGACGGGCCAACTGTAGGCGTTCGAGTTCGGGGGAGGAAAAACCAAGGGAGGGGAGGAAGGGATGAAATAGACTTAATGTTAAGTATAAAAGCATACATAGAGCACAAAAGTTTTGTGCCTACACAAAATCGGCGCTTTATCAGCAAAAGAACAATCCAAAAACTGAGCAGAATCTGGTTATAGTTTATTACAAAATTTGAGCTTGTCCCCCTACTTTTGCTAAAGTATCCACGGCCCCATTTGCTTCATGCCAAATTTGTTTAAAAGGCACCTAAAGCAAGCAGCAAATCTCAAAAACAGTGTTTCAAAAAATGCCGGGAGGCCCCTAGGCGACCGGGGGGATCTAAGCCGCCCAGCACCTAGGCGGGCGCTTAGATAGGTACCTAGGGATTGGGCCTAGGTTCAAAAGGGGGCAAAGGGTGTCTAGTTAATGTTTTAGGTCCAAATTTTGTATAAAAAATGCATTAATACATGCATCTTTTAATATCCAAACAAAGAACACCAAAAATGCACCACCCAATGGGCATTTTTGCACCATGCAGGCGCAGTCTCTGAGCGCCCTCCTAGGCGCCCGCTTAGGCAGGGTCCTAGGTGGGCACCAAGGGTCCCTAGTTGGGCGCCCAGGGACAGCCAGCCTAGTTGGTCCGCCAAGGCCCTCCAAGCCCGCCTAGGCGCTAGGACTGCTTTTAGAAACTATGCTTGAAAATCTTGTCAAAGAAAGTTTCCAGTCTCCATGGAGCTGGGATCATTTGGTAGCCCATGGAATAACACTTTTTGAGACACTTCGACAAGGGGAGTCTGGCCCCCATTCTGTCAAAGGAGAGATCTTGCTTCAGCTACCATGGAGCCCATTGTGCCAATTGGGCCTGGAAAGGACAACAATATCTCAGAGGAGCCATTTCTAAATAGGTCCCCGATCCTCGCTGTCCCCGGATTCCCAAAGGAACACACATCAAAGTTTAGTTAGATGGCACCCCATTCGGGTGGCCACCAAAAACCCAACCTTGGGTTAGGCAGGAGTCCTGTACTGAGGATAGACTTCATAGAGGCTTGCCACATCAAGAGACAAGAGTAGAGGTTGGGGAAGAGAAGAAGGCTGTTAAGAGCTGATGGACAGATTGGGGGTGACAATGCCAATTCAAACATTTGGAGCATAGTGGACCACAAGCGATTGGCCAGAGGGCAATTGATGAAAAGATGGTTGGGATATCCTTGGCTATTTTGCCTATGATCATCGGTTGTTAAGATGGATCCCTTTTCTTTGTAGCTGGTCGACAGTATTTGAATTAGCAAGCCTGTATAAAAGCCTGGATTTTTGGGGGAACAAAGGAGAACCAGGTCATGTTTGATATGGCTGCAGAGTTAGGATAGGGGTTGAAGACTAGATAGAAAGAAGAAACCCAGAACCTCCCTAAATCCATCGCCCTCGGTTCCTATGTGACAAGAAGTAACACATGTCGAAAATGAAACCAGATCAAACTCAAACAGAAGCCAATGATTTCTTCAATTTTCTATTCCTAAAATGCAAGTTGACCACACTGTTCAACATAAATTTATAAGTGAAGGGTCAAATATTAAAGGAAGTTAAGGAAAATCACAAAAGAAACCTCAACTCATTTACACAAGATTCGTACTTACATGGATTGTGGCTCCCCTACAAATTTAAAATACAATGGACTTCTATTTGAGTTTTCCACTGTATAAGCTGTGACTGCAAGTCATGAAGAGCACCCTGGTTCACTAACCAGATAATTGAGGCAGAGGGTACAAAATCAACGGATATGTACACTCGATTCAAAGAAAGCTCCTAAGGCCCACAACGACATGTGCTTAGTTTATGGGTCAATAAGGTGAATTCCAATGTAATGCAAATGTTTAACGTTAGGAATCACAGCCCTGCCAATGCTTGAAGGCTTTGGTCCATTGATTAAAAACTTGCAACTCAGGCTTGGAATCGGCCATGTTGATTGGACTCACTGAGTTCCCGGTTCCAAAGGCTCCCAAACTGGGATCAAATTTGGGAATTTTTATTAACATACCTACTTAGCAAGCCTTAGATTATTCTGATTTGAAGCCTAACCCCAAGAAATCCTTGGGTTTTGATTTTTGACAGTCTGGCTGAAGCCAAATTACATCTCCTGATTTTCAATTTCTAATCATACTTTTAGAATTTTTTAATGCCAAAAAAACTGGACTTTGCCAGACTCACCAAGCTGACTCAAGACTTGGCAAGTAGGCTCAGCTCGTTCCATGACTAAGTCTCAGGCCAAGTCGAACAGTGGTTTGGGGCATCCGGGTCAAGCCTAAGGTCCAAGATTTAAGTTGGTTAGTGACTATAAGAAAAGCTCTTGCCGGGTCATTCCCAACATCACGGAATTAAATTTCCAAACCAGTACATCATGTGTGGGGAAGAGGAGTCTCATGGCCACCTCTTCCTGCACTGCAAAACGACTGCCAACATATGGCTAGCATTTCTGAGACGGTTCGACTTTCCAAACTTTCCAAACACGGTTCGACTTTCCAAACATATGGGTATAGCCATAGTTGTTTGTCCAAACTTGGCTATCCGCACCTCTTCCAAAAATTACCAACCACTGTGGCAATACAGTATTCCAAGCCATCATCTGATCAATATGGTTACAAAGATATCGAAGACACTTCCAAGGCAAAGCCTCTAGCATAGATCAAAATCCTAAACATCTCCTGCACTCTAACCAGAGAGAAATTCCACAAGCTAATCCGCAGTTGACCTCAACAGTCAATGCAAACTGATCATCCACCCATATCCCAAACAAGACCCAAGGTCCCCACACTGGCTACCACCATCTCTAGGAACCATAAAAATATGATGCGATGGAATCTGGGCCCTGCAGATCTAGAGGGCTCTTCTGAGATCACTTCGATTCGAATTTGCTCACTCTCTCAGGGCCCCTTAAAGTTAAGGACTCGACCAATACCAAACCACACAATCTTCTTGTAGAACTTCAACATTTTGACAAGAGCTGGAGCACAAATCATATCGTAGGGCGTGACTACACAAACGTAATCTCATTGGACCAATAGAAATGACCCCATGTCAATAGAGATTTGACCAAATGCTCGATAAATTCGCCAACTACGCCGTGACTTGTGTCTCAAACACACTTTGGAGAACAAGTTAGCAGACTCCACACCCAAATATGGAGTTGACGGAAGTTCCCTCTTCATCAATCACCACTCAATGCCATTCCCATCCCACCTATAGCCCACAGACCACAGTACAGAGATTGTGTAACATAGATCCTCAATTTAGGATTTTTATAAAGAGACTCCGTAACAACCAAGCCTGGTGTCATAATTTTGTAAATTTTACACAATCAAAATGCAGCTTATTATTGAGAAAAGGAATATATACGACGTATCTTAGAAGCCAATACATATAGACTTGGTTATGTTACAGTGAGTTATATCGATTGGAGCAGTGATCTCAACAACTCTAGTCTAAGGTGGATCTAGAAATACATGAGAAACCATGATAGGTTTTTTGACAATTAGTAACTTCAATCAGAAATATAGCATGGATCCAATTCAAACTTTCAAAGCCTTACAGGGCTACGTACAAAACTTAGATACTGATTTTCCATGAAATACATTATAGGAGCATCGAACTAAGATGCATAACATGGAACTTACCACCCAAAATTTAAAATTTCATTAATTCACCAAGGAACGTAAAAGGGAACCTAAAAATGCTGCAAAAATAAAATATTTCTTTCATGTATGTATGTGTGTATCTCCGGTGGAATAGGGGAGGGGGCCTTGAGTTACCCTTCAGATTCAAACCTTTCTATGGAATTATGGATATGAATTACTTATTGGTGAATATAGTTAAGAAAAGTGTTTTTTTCTAATCAAAATTAATGACAGATCCACTAATAAAGAGATACAAATATTTTAGCCTCCAGTCCACCATCCATTACAATTCAAGGAATATCATAGATTGTTAGGAGGGCAAGAGTCAGAGAAATTTTTAACAGGAGTCATAGAAATTGCTAAAAGGGTGCTACCCAATGACCTCAAATTGATAAATGCTAGATTTTTCTTCACTCAATTTATCCAAACCCAATCCCCCATGAATTTTCCATATTAAACGAAAAACAACACCGAATCTTTATAAACAGATTGGCTCTTCAAAAGTTATTTAATTATGTGATTTGAGGCTGCAATCCACTGAAGAAATCATTTAAGAATGCAGACCACAGAGAACAGTGGTAAGACTAATTCATGATGATTATTGGTATTTTATTTTATTTTTCCAAATAACAAGCAAACTATCAAGAGATCAACAACTTTGATGAAACTGAAAAGAGAAATTCATGTGCCATCTTTTTTGAGAAAAGATCAAGTTAATTAACTATCAAGAGATCAATAACTTCGATGAAACTGAAAAGATAATTTCATGTGCTATCTTTAATGAGAAAAGGTTCAGCTAATGAGGAAAGGAGCTGGGGTCGTCGTAGTAGCATCCCCACACCCAGTTACCACATCGTGGTATCCATTCCTAACGCTAACACCCCCAATTAACACTTTCAAAATGTAACTACCTAATCTTTTGAAAAACGGGTAGGGGCCTGTCTTTCCCACTGAATTACCCAAAAAAAATAAAAAAAGGTTCAGTTAATTAATGTGCTATCTTTCGTCTATTGAAAAGCAGAAACCAGAGATAATTAATTGCCCAATGTCAGTTAAATCCGAGAATTCACAACGTTTGCATCAAAGTGATTGTGCATTTAAAAGGCTTTCTCAGGCCAGTTGTAGAGAAAATCTCAGACCTAGCTCAATGTACAATGTACAAAAAAGAAGAAAACAAAACTCTGGAGGTTTTGATGGTCAAGATCTTACTGTATCCCATAATTCGATTTCCAGGACCTTCAGCAACATGAAAATAATCAGGCCAACGAGCCAAGTAGGTCATGTAGAAAGACATGTTAAACTGCAAGTTTCAAATGGGCCACTCAGCTTCTAAACTCAAATAAAAAAATCACGATGCAAAAAATTGTTATCAGAGGCGAGAGAGGGAGAGAGTTACGGTTTCAGTTAAGTGGTCGAGATTGACATGAGAGAAGCGTAAAAGGTCGTCACAGCAGAATCTTCGGATGGTGGTCATTCTGAAGAGAAATGGAGAGAGAGAGAGAGAGAGAGAGAGTAGTTACAAAGGCCCAATGGCTGAAAAAGATGAGAGAGACAGGGAGGCCCGGTGGCTGAGAGAGAGAGGGGGGTTCGAGGGGGCAGGATTGTTAAAGAGAGGGGTTTCAAGGGGCGGGATCGTAAAAACAGGAGAGAGAGAGAGAGAAGGGTTTCAAGGGGTGGGATTGTTAAAACAGGATAGAGAGGAAGAGAGAGATGTGTGCAATTTATATTGATGATCTATGTGAGCACAACAAATGCGTGGTCAGTAATTTGAGTGCCGTTGAGTTGCTAATTTTCACGGTGATGCAAGAAGTCATTTTCTTTTATGCCCCATACATCCAAGTTGTTGGACGGTTATTCGGTTACGAAATTCATAACGTCACATTCGTAATAATCAAATGATCTCACTCTCGTCCAGTCACCAGATGGTTTCTATTCCCACCACTTACTCCTCCCCCAATAATATTATCAAAAAGCTAACTTCTAATCTACTATAAAGGTCTTATTAAGATGAGCGATATTAAATAGAAAAACTATCTTAAAATTTTTAAAAACAAAAATTATATCAAATTTTAAGTTTTAGAAAGAGGAACGTCTTAAATTTTAGAGAAAGAAATTATATTGATTTTTTTAAAAAAAATTACTTAAATAAAATTAGAGAGAGAAACTATCTTAAAATTTTTAGAAAAAAATTGTTCCAAAGTTTTTAGAGAGAGAAACTATCTCAATTTTTTAGAACGAAATTATCTCAAAATTTTTAATGAGAGAAACTATCTCATAGTTTTTATAGGGAGAAGCTATCCTAATTTTCAAACTTTTAGAGAGAAAAACTGTCTCATAATTTTTAGATAGTGAAACTATCTCAAAAATTATATTTTGAAGAGAAAATCTATCTCAAATTTAAATTTTAGAGAGAAGCAATTACAAAATTTGTAGAGAGAAACTATCTCAAAATTTAAAATTTATTGTGTTTTCTTGTTTCCATATGTGATAACCAAAGAAAAAGAAGGCCGGAGTAATTTTTTCGTGTAAATTATTTGCATTCATGCGTACCAAATACCCCCCTAGTGCTTTACAAAGCTCGAGTTGTCTCTCACATTCGTCTAGTGCGAGAAAGTTGATGGGGATGGTTTCTCCAGGGGGTAGCATGAGAGAGAGGACATAATATTCCATGTCCTTTGAGAGAGAGAGGATCCCTGAAGAACGACTTGGAGAGCGAAAGGGAAGCCTAAGTCAGGCTTTGGTAGGGTGGCAACTGGTTGGGTACGGGTAAAGTTATGCGGATCTAGGTTTTGGATCTGGACCAACCCTTTGGGTTCAAAACTTGGACCCATATGCGTACCCATGGGTTTGGGTCTACCCTTTGGGTCACGCGTCTGGTCTGGTCAATTACCATCTTATGATTATGAGCTTTTTTATTTTATTTTTATTTTTTTTTTTTTTTTTTATAACCATCATATACCTATATTATTGGTAACAATGTCAATTTCAAGTTATCTGATTTGTCATCTAATAGCTAAAATTAACTACGAGTTCTTATTATATACGATACTTAATGCACTCAAACAAATAGGACTTAAAGTAAAGTATTTGATCTTCGACGGTTTATGGGTACAGGTCAAGTCCGGCTGAACCGAGACCCAACCCTTCGGGTCCAAAAATTGATTCCATACCTAGACCCAATCGGTCCTGGGTCTGATTGGATCCATTGCCACCCTGATGACTTTGGCAGCCGTAAATCCGCAAATCGTTGGAGCAGAGAAAGCTCTAATTGCACCAAGAAGATTTGAGCGGTCTCCTATCCAAAGCTGTTTTTAACGAGAAATCGGCCCAACACTTACAAGTTTCGAGCCAAAATCCGAACCCTCAGTTCCACAATCGCATCTTCGAAACCTCTCAACATTGGCCTCTTTGATGAAGAAAAGATTGACAGAGGCACGGATTGGACAAATTTGGGTTTTCTGTGGATATTCTTATTGCGTAGGTTAGTGTAGTTAAGCAAGTCGCAAATTATATTTTAATTGTTTTTTATTTTAGTTGTTGTTTAGGATTTTGTCAGGGGTAAAATTAGTCATTTATTTTTAAGTTAATAATAGATGGTTATGGTAGCTTTTTTAGGGTTTTTGAGTTACTTAAATAGTTGCATTGAAAGGTTTAGGGGAGATCAATTTTTTTTTTCTTTGAAAAAGTTCAGTTAATAAAATGTGGGAATTAGAGTTCTCATTACTTTCAAAATCTCTCTTCATTCTCTATTTTTTTTTCCCTTTAAGGCTCGTGATCTATTATATTAGAAGGGAAGACCAAAAAGGTTTTTGCCAATGTTTAGAGAGAGGTATATATCTGATAACTCAAAAATGTAATCTTTATTGAAATAGTGAAATTCTATTTGGTGAGCCCATAAACATAGCCCTTTAAGTTGAACAACATAAATTATATGTAGGTTGTAGTATTCTTTTTGTGTTTGTTTTATTTCCCACATTTATTTTGTCATTATATTCATTTATTTTCTCCAACTAGTTATGTACATGATTTTAGGTGGTATCACGGTGTTTGCGATTTCTAGTTTGACAAGCATGGGGTTCCATAGGACCCTACTATTGGTATCAGAACATGAGGTGTGTACATAAATAGCTAAGCTTTGTATTCTTGAAGAAGGAAAAATGAATGAGAAAGTTAGAGGCCAGGTTGGATGGATACAAGGTTTGAGGTTGAGAAATATAGAGGTTAAGTATCTGTAGGAATTCCGCATTGGAAGCAAGAGAGAATAAACAAATAAATATGTCTAATGAATTTCCGCAAGGAAATTACGATGATTTTGCTATCAAGGTGGAGGTCGTTTGGTCTAATGATAGCCAAATCAGCACTGTTAGGTTTTTCTTAAAATATAAAAGGTACTCTTATAAAACAAAAACGGGCTTTCTTGTGGAGCAGGGTAGAAACCCTAATGATTTTTATATAAAGGAATCAAGGAAGACATAATACTCACCCCTTATCGGGTCATCTCTTCGGTGGTCATAGAAAAACATCTCCAAGAAGGAGATCAATCTCCTAGAGAGAAATAAATATAGCTTCCAAGAAATAGGGGTATTTTTGTAGAGTTTTGAGTTGGTTGACCTTCCACTTTTAAGGAGAAATAGTCTCTTGATTGCTCTCAAGGTTTTTTTTACTATAGTAGCGGAAAAGACAAGGCTGATCAATGGTGTTCTCGATTTAGGAGAGCATATTTAGAAGGGAGGATTAATGAGATTTTTGCCGATGTTTAGAGAGAGGTCTTCTCATCTAACCCAAAATTGTAATATTAATTGAGATGGTAGATTTCCACTTGCCAAGGTCATAGAGGTAGCTCTTTGGAGTGAACTATGTAAATTGTATATCGTTGTAGTGTGTATTGCGTGTTTACTTTATTTCTCACACTTCTTTCATTTTTGTATTCACTTATTTTACATTTAGCGAGGGGGGGCCTTGCATCACCCAAGTGGGCATAGGGTGACATGTGGCACCCCACAGGACCCACTAGTGGCTGAGTCAACATGACATCAAAACCAATGAGGTATCCCTCATTGGTATTTTGGTGTTTTTTTAAATAAGTTTTTTAAAGTTTTAAAGAAAAATAATAATTTTAAAACTTAAGTATCTATTTAGTCATAAAAAAAATTTATATAAGGCTAAGGCCCTAAACAATTAAATTAAGACGAACCTTCAAAATTCATTAGAAAGTGTTGTCTTGATGTTGAAAAAGCCTCAATTCAATCACCAAGACCCCAAGATATGTGGACATGAGTAAAGTAGATTTCAAGTATTGGTAATAGTGCATCATTTAATGCATTGTTTAGATCATCAATTTTCAAGATTTTCAAATATTGATAAATCTGCTCGATGTACACTATTTTTTAACTTTAAATTTTATAAATTAGATATGAAAATAGAGTTTCAAGCCATCATAAAGATTCATGATACTAAAGCAACATATTTCAACACTATTTGAAGGTGCGTCCTACTTTGATTATTTCGGGCCAGGTCTTATATAAACCACACCCTTAAGTTACATGTTAATTTAGCGTATATGTAGCCTTATTCACATGTGTATAGGGTCATGAAATTATGGCCTTAATCGTAATCTATCGTTGGAAATGATATTTTTAAAGTTACTCTTTTTGTGGCATCACCTCATTGGCTTGAGCCTATGTGAATTTTTCGAAATGGCTCAAGTTTGTTGTATGAAAGAAGATATTTTAAAATTTACAAGAGTGGCACACCCCTCACTCTTCATTCTTAATTGATTTTCAAAACTTAATCATAGGCACTTTTAGTAGTGCTTAAATACAATATGTGATTAGGACAATTCTGTAATATATCCTAATTTAAGGTTTTTAAGGAGTGATAAGGGTGTAAAATCTCATCATTTGATCTTGATTAAAGAAAGACCTATGTAATCTTTTACTGGGGAAATACAATTTTTTTTTTTTTAATAATAATCACCCCTTATAATTATGGCAACAAGATCACTCACAGATGGTCTTACTACAAACAATAGAAATTCCAAAAATAAATAACACATCAATAAAATAAATCTCAACTACTTGATGTCATTTATACAACCTAATACTGTGCTTGAGAATATAAAATAAAATAAAAACAATTAAAAGAAAAGATGCCTGAGATTACCTCAATTGGGCTTTTTACACACCACACCGAGTCACCACATCCAATGCCGCGGGATGAGCAGTCTAGTTTCAATCCCGAACAGGGAAAGCTAATTTCGACCAAACTAGGTAACCACTCTTAAATCTTTACAAAACCCTAATTCTAAAATAATTAGGCTCAAACCCTAATTTTCCTAACCCTTAGATGAGATCATGAGAGAGAGAGAATCTCTACGTTGAGGCGTGCCCCCTAGGGTCTTTTTAGGAGAGAGAGAATTAGAGAGTAGAGAGAGGGGCGTGGCCCCTAGAGAACAGAGAGAGAGAGTTTATGGGAGAGAGAAAGGTGTGTAGAGATGGGGAAAGCACCGCTATTTATAATAAAATTTAGGTCTAGGGTTTTTTTAGGGTTTCCCGTAGTTTGCATCTTTCTTGAGATTGAATATAGACCGTTAATCAATGTGACTTGTGGGGTGAGAGATCAAGGTGACTTGTGGGGTGAGAGATCTGAGCCAATCATTTCATAGATGGGCCATCAA